TATTATTAAAGGGGCGATTTAACTATAAATATGACAATTACTAGAAAACTTACAGGAACGATAGGTTGAAGAGGGCCCTGCTCAAACGAGTTTACAGTCTATAGGAGGTGGGGTATAAAACACATTAGGACAGAAAATGGCAATCAAAAAAGGTGGGAGTGAAGTCGAGCTGGATGAGAGAGTAGAGTGCTGCCATTTAGGAGAGAGCAAGAGACAGGTATGTGAGGTAGATGTTAGTCTGGGAGGCCAGAAGCTTTCCTAAAGAGATGGGTTTTAAAGCACTTCTTAAATGATAGAAGACTAGAGAGAGTTTGGCGGTAAGCAGACTATTCCATAGGAAGGGAGCCGCCCAAGAGAAGTCCTGCAAGCGCGAGTTGGCTGTATGGATGCGAGAAGCGGGCAGGAGAAGGTCACTGGCAGAGTGGAGAGAACGAGAAAAGGCATACCTATGGGTCTGTGAAGAGCTATAAGAGGGGCTAGAATTGTTCAGTGCTTTATAGGTATGGGTTAGCACTTTGAATTGACTCCTATAGGATACAGGAAGTCAATGTAAGGACTGACAGAGGAGTGAGGTGTGAGAGGACCGACTAGAGAGGAAAATCAGTCTAGCGGCAGCATTCATTACAGACTGTAGAGGGGCAATGCGGCTTTGGGGAAGACCAATCAGGAGAGGGTTACAATAATCCATGTGGGAAATTACTAGAGCATGGACAAGCTCCTTGGTAGCATCTTGCATAAGAAAGGGCCAGATGCGGGCAATGTTTTTGAGATGGAATCTACAGGATTTGGCAACATACTGGATGTGAGGCCAGAATAAAGTATGATGCCAAGACAGTGAGCTTGCAAGGATGGGCTGATGTGGATACCACTAACTTGAAGGGAGAGCGAAAGTGGAGGATTAGTATTAGGAGGAAAGACAAAGAGCTCAGTTTTGGAGAGATTTTGTTTCAGAAAGCGGGAGGACATCCAGTCAGAAATGTAAGATAGGCAAGCAGTGACACGTTGCAGAACGGCAGGGGAGAGGTCCTGGGAGGAGAGAGATATCTGGGTGTCATCAGCATACAAGTGGTAAGTTTGCCAAGAGAGGCAGTATAAAGAGAGAATAATAGGGGACCAAGGACAGAGTCTTGGGGGACTCCAACCAAGACCGGACGAGGAGAGGTGGTGTCATTAGAAAAGGAGATGCTGAATGAGCATTGGGAGAGATAAGAAGAAAACCACAAGAGGACAGAGACAGAGTGTTTGAAGAAGGAGAGCATGATCAACATTGTCAAAGGCAGCAGAGCGGTCAAGAAGAATTAGTATGGAGTAGTGACCTCTGGATTTAACATAGACACACGGGCAAAGACAAGTCTTTCCAGAAGTTTTGAGGAAAAAGGGAGCAGGGATATTGGATGAGAGTTATAGGAGGAGGACGGGTCAAGAGATGTTTTTTTTCAGGATAGGTACTACAGTGGCATGTTTAAGGTCAGCAGGGACAACGCCAGAAGAGAGAGAGCAGTTGAAGATGTATGTTAAGGAAGGCACAAGTCTAGGGGAGAGAGATCTGATAAGGTGAGATGTGAAAGGATCGAGTAGACAAGCGGTGGGGCGAGAGGAAAGGAGAAGCGCAGCCACCTCTTGTTGAGTAGCCTGGGAAGAAAGTCTGAAGGGTAGGAAAGGCACGATCAAGTTGTGGTTGAGAAAGAGTTTGGCAAGGTGGGGAGAATTCTTTCCTTAGCTGTTCAATCGTCTCGGTAAAGTAGCATGCAAAGCTCTCGGCTGTAAGGTTAGTGTGAGTGGTGGCCACAGCAGGGCAAAGAAGAGAGTTAAAGGTGTGAAAGACGCCTGGGATTGCGGGAGCATGAACTAATGAGAGGAAAAGTATGACTGTTTGGCGAGGGCAAGAGCTGCGCTGTATGAACACAAAATTAATCTATAATAGGGAAAGTCTGACTAGGTGTGAGACTTCCTCCAGGAGCATTCAGCACAACGGGAGCAACTTTGCCGGTAGCGTGTTGATTTACTATGCCACGGTTGTGGGCGTGTCCTCCTCAAGGTGCATGTTTGGAGCGGGCCTGCAGCGTTCAAGGTTGAGGTATGGGTAGTGTTATATGTGAAGAGGGCTAGTGAGGAAAGGGATGGATAGCAGTTGTGAATCAGTATCAGCTGACAGCTGCTGGAGGTCAGTAGAATTAAGGTTCCTCCTGAGTTAAGGGGGGGTTAGGTTTAGGTTGTTGGGTGACGGGGTATTCAAAAGCAAATAATAAGAGGTGGTAATTAGAAAGAGGAAATGGAGTGTTGCAGATATTAGATACTGTACATGCATAAGAGAAAATGAGGTCGAGGGTATTACCAGCTATATGGGTGGGAGAATTAGCCCACTGCCCTAGCCCGATGGAGGAAGGAATTGATAGTAGTTTAGAGGCTGCTGAGGTCAAAGGTGGGTTAATGGGAATATTGAAGCTCCTGAGAATTAGGTATGGAATATTAGAAGAGAGGAAGTAGGGTAGCCATTAAAATAACACTAACGATTGTTGTGAGAGGGCACTAGTGATGGACGTTATCAGCTTCTACCCTTGCAGGTAGTGCTGTGAGATATTTCCTTTCCTCACATTTTTAATAGTTTTTTTTTTGTCTATAAAACACTTGCACTCTGAGCTTGGGAGAACAGTTCAATCAAATAATTCTCTATGACACGCATTTGATTGGACTCAGGAGTTAAATTGTGACAGATGGGGCATGGAAACAAGCAAGAACACAAACAGCCCACATTCATAGGTGTCATACACAATAGCTCAAACTGCTCTTGAAATTTACACTAACAGCCCACATGCGCAGAAATACGATGCTACAAAGCAACTGAAGCACCCATAAATAACCCAAGCCGAATAAGACACACCTCAATTAAAAAAAAAACTGGCACACAAAGGGACTTCATGATCTTGTTCCGAACAGTAGTACTAAAAGGTTGCCTACCTCTGCACTAGCGTATGTGGTATACTACTGAAATGAAGTTTGATCAAAGAATTGATTTCCATGAAAGCATTTGTATTCCAGAGAACTGCTATTCATGATATTCCACAATATCAGCTTCTGACACTTCAGCTGCTGTGGTCACCAACTCCAGGCCCAAATCTGGCACGCCAGTCTATGAAACACAGCCCATCAAATGCCATTGCTTCAGTGCAAAGAGTACTCTGGCTGGAGTAGAGCTAAACTGGATATAAAGGTCAGTGGCTAAATATTTTAAATGTATATAAAAAAGAAAACCGAATGAAAAGTGAGAATTTTACTTTAGGCTAATTGAGGAACAGGTTTTCATAGAAGATCGAATATATCAAAATAGAAATATATAATTATAAAATGTCCTCCAATACTGTCTCAATACAGACAGTACAGCTAGGCAGACTTGTTATGAAAAATAAATACAAAAAGATAAGTCCTGCGCTCACTCCCATCAATCCTGGGCAGCAGCAACGACCACAGTACACATCAGCCCCAATATATAGTAAAAACCAAAGGAAAAAAGTTACCTGCGTTCTCTCCTTAATCCCTATGTATATTTAGACAAATGGAGGTCATTTAGTTACTCCAATGGCCACTGGAGGGAATGCCTGCCTGCCAACGTCAAGGCAGACCCCCCCCTAAGTGGGTCCTACTCTGAGCCTTCACCTTGCTTCCTTGAGCTTCTGGCAAAGATATCTCTAATGAGACAGAGAAGGGTATTTTTTTTATATACACCCCTTAATACTTATTAACCCTTAATAGGGAACACATGGGATGGGCGGCAGCATTTTCTTTGGTTTCTTTGTTTTTTCTTTCTTATGTTATGAAAAATGCTGGACCAGTTTGGCAATACTAAACGTTCACAAATGGGCTTACATTATTAGTTAGGCCCTATCATAGCCAAGCACTATCACCGAACCCTATATGAGTCCTGAGGGAGCACAAAGAGTTGAAGAATTCAATTTATTTTAATGCCTTCTTCATAGCAAAACCAAAGTCCGTTTTCAATATCCATTTCTCCCTGGTGTCCCTATTTAGAACCCAAATCAGTCTGTCCCTCTTTCCTATCATAATGTCCCTCTTTTCTCGGAGTTCCATATTGTTGGTGTGTCTGTAGAGCTCCACTGCAATAATACTCACAGTAATATGTCTCTAAACCTCAATAAATGTTTTAAGAACAGTCTGTAAATAAGTTACATTGTTATTGGTCTAAATTAAATTTTAGTTGCATAAGTTATTAATAAATCATCTAAAACGTCTCAAAACACCCCCAGCTTTGGCCACACCCCTACTCACAACCCTTAGATGAAAGTGTCCCTCTTTGACCTGTTTGGAGGTATGTATATCCACATCAGCTGGGTGGGGGGAGGCGCTACAGTGCCTAACTAGGGCTAGGGCTCTTTTGTTTGGTGGGGAGCGGCCATTTAGACCGCACAGACTTAGACCTAGCCACAACATGGAGCGACCGGGTGGCGCCGAACCAGAGACTGTGTAACCACGTGCGTGGGGGTTGGGACTTTCCCCGTTGTGACTAAGGGAGCTGAACCACCTATTGTTGACTGTGTGTTAATCCCTTTACCTTACTCATAATGTTTTCCTGTGTATGCAAAGTAGGTGTTCTGTGATGGTGTGTCCTATTGATTATTAATGGGCTTATTGTGATTGGCTGTTTGTTTAAGCCCAGTTTGATTGGTTGCTTTTTCCAAACCTTTGTGTGTTTACTAATGAGCTTACTTGTATACAAATACTTGGGTGTGTCTAAAAAGTTAGTTCCTGTCCTACCCTCAAGCTGTGTGTGTCTCCTGTTCTTGGGGGAGAGGTGTTAGCTGACTGAGTCTTCGTGAACGGGCAGACATCTGTGGTTTGGCGGTGGGAAGAAGCTGTGCGGACAGGGCACAGGGGACCCGATACACTGGTGGCCAGTGGTGGGATCTGCTTCTTTTAGCAAGGATCCAAACCACATTAGAGAAGATAAAGTGTACCCTGGGGAGGAAGAGCCAGCAGAGAGAGTCATGGAGTGCGAATGGCTGATGCGGACACCTGGATACAAGGCGATGCTGAAAGGAGCAGAAAAGAAGAATCACAGCAGAGTACAGAGAAGGCTGTCAATCTACGGAGTCAGACCCTCTAAGGTGGCCATCCGATTAACTAGGACTGAGGTGTGGAAAAAGACCACACTGTATAAGGAGATTCGGATGGTGGAAATGCTAGGGACAAATACCTCTGTTTGGGAAGCTCCAGTGGGGGACTTCGAATGCAGAGTTGAAGTTGCCCTCGCAGTGATAGGAGGGTCAATTCCAGAGAAGAAGTGCCTGCAATGGAGAGCCTTAATTAGGCTAGAGTTGTTGGAAGATGCTCGCGAGGAGTGGCACAGACTGCAAAGTCAAGTCCTGCCCTCCCAGAACAGCGCTTCAGGGACCAAGTCATTTGCGGCTCCACGTCCTCGGAGATCAACCTACGAGCAACGAAGCAGCCGAGTTATGGAGGCTAGTGCGAAAAACTAAGCAGCTCGGGGAAGGATACCGAGCACTATATTGGTTTGTGAACCAACAGCAGTTGAGGTCAGGGACACACTCTTCCCTGGAAAGGGACGACATCGGCAGAAGCAGCCTACTATGGGAAAACAAGACTTTGGCAGTCCTGAAGGATATAGGTTCTGGAACATTCAAGCCAAGAGGCAAGAGAGACTGCTGCCCTCAGAGGTACTAGCCCTAGTTCAAGATCTTGATTGGCTAGTGTACCAGGAGTGGTACCTCGAGGCAGACTCGCGCTGTCTGAGCATAACCTCTCACTGCTACTGGAGTACACGGAATCAGGAGACAGGATACCTGAAGCTGACGGGACAGACTGTGGTCTCTGTACTTGGAGAGCTGGGTGGCTGACTCAGACCTGCAATACCCTGGGTTAGAGATCTTAGCTGCTGTACTACCTGCCTCACCACCAGCTCCAGAAATAGATCTAATGACTGGTCCTAGGAAGACATCAAGTTGGCAGGTGTGGATGGGACCAAGGTCTCCACACCAGCCCCACAGGGATGCTGACCAGACTTCCCAGATCCCCAGCAGCAGGGTAAGCTCCTGGGAGAGGATGCAAGTGTTCTTTCTCCCCAGTGGCAGTGAGAACACATGGGAGAGGAGGTAGTTGACCCTTCTCTCCAGCGGCAGCTTACTGATCGGGTTCCAGATGTGGATGTGACTGCGGCCTCCACTGACACCATCCCAGCAGAAGAGCTGGCATCAGGGCAGAGCCTGAGCCTGACTGCGAACAGGCTACCCCAGCTAAAGTGCTGGCTATGAGACAACGCACCATATTTGCTGGGAGCAAAGAAGACCCAGCTAAAGTGCTAGCAGTGGGGCAGAGTATTGTTAATCTCTGCCCTCAGGTCGTGGTGATGCTGGGCAGTCGAGTGGCGGTCACCGGGGCAGACAGCCCCCCACCAGCGGAAGAGCTGGCATCAGGGCAGAGTGCTGCTGGCCCCTGCCTTCCCCCATCAGAAGCTTGGGAGGAGTGGGACTGTAAAGACCCAGCATTGAGGGACTTTTGCCCAATACAGGTGGATGACACTGTGGTCCCTGGGGATGCTGGATAGCTGACCCTGAACCACTACTCTTAGCAAAAGTGGACACCGGGGGTTGGCAGAGTGTTTGGTATCAGGCCTTGGTTCTAAACTTTGCGGGGCCTGTTGTTGATTATGGGTGGGCAACTGAGGGCAACCAATGGATCCCACTCGTGCAAAGCACAGAGGGCTTAAAGTGGAAAGGGGTCCTCATGCAGGCTGGGGAAGAAAAGTTTGTTGAACTGCTGGAGAGGATTGGAGACTGGCCTCTTGTCTACAGACTACGGGCCAGTTCTCCGGGCAGCCTCTAACCCCAACAGACTTTATGTGGGCAGCCCAGACAGCCTCCGGTGAACCTGTTAGGGTCGCGCCAGTTCTGCCAGATTTGACCTGGGGGGAGATATGTGACGGAACACCGGTACGCCATCACTTGGGCATCAAGGTCTCCTTTTTTTGAGTGGGCCCTGGTGGGGAGTGGCCATTTAGACCGCGCAGACTTAGACCTAGCCACAACATGGATCGACAAGATAGCGCCGAACCAGAGACTGTGTGACCATGTGGGTGAGGGTTGGGACTTTCCCCTTTGTGACTAAGGGAGCTGAGTCACCTATTGTTGACTGTGTGTTAATCCCTTTACCTAACTCATAATGTTTTCCTGTGTGTGCGCAAAGTAGGTGTTCCGTGATGATGTGTCCTACTGGTTATTAATGGGCTTATTGTGATTGGCCGTTTAAGCCCAGTTTGATTGGTGGTTGTTCCAAACCTTTGTGTGTTTACTAATGAGCTTACTTGTATATAAATGAAGAATAAAAATAGGAGTCAGCGCTAGGTTGCCACAGGAGATAGATTTTTTTTTTTTTTATAGAGGGTACAGGCTGCACACCTAAAGGAAAGAAGGGATCCCCTCTTATCCCCTGACAAGAAGTATAACATAAAGTAACACAAACAAGAAGAAAGGGTGCGCCTTAGAAAAAATAAGAAATTGATCCAAATAACTTAACACTAGTCCAATGTAATACAGTCCATGGTAATAAGAAGAGTTCTTGTGACATAGTAGATAGGATAATTCCTCATGGGTGTATGCTTGAAATTCAATGGAGCATATGGGGAAAAAACACAGAGATGGGACTCCAATGGTACAGTATGTAGGTACAATAGGATATTGGAATAATAGTAATAAGGTACTACTCACAATTTCCAGAGCTATAATCCAGCTCTGGTATGGAATGCGTGAAGTGGAATAATCCCCACTCAAGGATAAATGAAGTTTTACCGGTTGGCAGATGTATATAACGGATCAGTAGTCCAACATCAATATGGTCCAGCCCAGAATAAAAAGAATAGAATATAGTGCTCACTGTATCTTTTTAGGTGAAAAGGCAAAATATGAAATGTTTCACAGTATGTAGAGCAGGCTCGATGTGTAGCGTATGGGTGGTATAATCCCCACCTGCGGATTCTTTATGCTTCTTTTTTAAGCGATGAACATCGATGTAGTCAGGTTAAAAAGTGGGTAAAATAAAATAAGATAAAAGTAATAAAGTAAAAGAAGAAATATCAGGGTTGTTAGTGCCAAAAAATTCCTTTATTGAAACTAAATAAAAACAATATCTAGGCGCGTTTCGCCTAAACAGGCTTCTTCAAGTAGATAATAGTAAAAAAAAACATAGACCTGACAAACATGAGTTTATATAGGGTACATTAACATTAATTGTATATAAATACCTGGGTGTGAATAAGTTATTTCCTGTTCTACCCTCAAGCTGTGTGTGTCTCCTGTTCTTGGGGGAGTGGTGTTAGCTGGCTGAGTCTTCGTGAATGGGCAGACATCTGTGGTATGGTGGTGGGAAGAAGCTGTACGGACGGGTGTGCTCAGTTCGGGCACAGGGGACCCGTCACAAATTCCAACTGATTGTAACAATCAAATGACAATCACATTAAAATACTGAATGCCCAAATTTATTATAGCACCACCACATGCACACACAAAATTTCTGGGATTCAAAGTGCAAAATATTTTCATAGGTTATGAAGGTCAAGACTCCCCCTTGAGTCTTGGTGGAAAATAATAGATTAGGACAGACAAAGCCACTTATTACACCAAAGTATATCATCTAGTGGTGTGAATCCCTTCACAAGAGGTTTGTTCCAGGTGGAGAATAAAATGAAGACCAAATCAGTTTATTGATATTGAAAAACTACTAATTGGTTCTAATTGTGCGCATAAAAGATGATCTAGATATAAAAAATTACCCCATTTGCTGGACAAGGTGGAAGATGGTTGCATGAGCTGAAGCTCTGCCACATGAACACTGGCGATTTTGATATAGAACGTGTCAGACAACCTTGAATTTTGTAACTTGCACTCGGACATTGAGGTTCTCCCTGAGGAAGAACCACTTACTAAAGCCTTTCTTCAAAACCCCCTAGACATCCTAACACAAAAATTGATAACTACATGGCACAACAGTGTCTTACCGTTGCAATGATATACAAGGACTAGAACAATAAAAACTTGGAAGAATTTGCAGAAGCACACAACAGTGTCGCAGATAAACAATGGCAGTTAGAAGTGCAACTTGAAAAATGTGAGATGAAAGTCATGGAATTCCAAGAACAATCGAGACGAAATTGATCAGGTTCAGAGGAATCCCCTACACAGTACTGATATCGGACTCGCCTACACTTGTGCACGGTCGCTTTCACAGCTAGTCCCAGAACTGCCGACTGACATGATTCTACTAGACATCGTACATCTTGTTCACAAACCCGAGTATCTACTGAACACCCTGACTTGAGATGTTCTTCTCAAAGTCCATTACTTAGAAATTATATTTAGACGCAGCTGAACAGCAAAGGGCTTGCCATCCGAATATGCAACAATCCGAATAATCTCTGACCTTTCAGCAGCCACTGTAAAACGACACAAATTGTATAAACTTGTTATGAAGACTCTTCACACACATTATTATTATTATTGCCATTTATATTGCACCAACAGGTTCTGTAGCGCTTTACAATATTATATTTAACTATAAATAGGACTATTACAAGAAAACTTAGAGGAACGATAGGTTGAAGAGGACCCTGCTCAAACGACCTTACTGTCTACAGGAGGTTGGGTGTAAAAACAATAGGACAGGAAATAGCAATCAAATAAGGGGGGAGTGAAGCAGAGCTGGAGGAGAGAAAGTGCTGCCCTTTAGGAAAGATCAAAAGACGGGTAGAGATTACTCTGGGAGGCCATAAGCTTTCCTAAAGAGATGGGCTTTAAGGCAATTCTTAAATGATTGAAGTCTAGGAGAGAGTCTGATGGCAGTAGGCAGGCTATTCCATAGGATAGGAACCGCCCGTGAGAAGTCCTGCAGGCGTGAGTTGGCCATACAGCGGACAGGAGAAGGTCACCGGCAGAGCGGAGAGACAGAGAAGGGGCATACCTATGGATCTGTGAAGAGATATGAGGGGCTAGAATTGGTCAATGCTTTATAGGTATAGGTTAGCACTTTGAATTGACTCCTACAGGATACAGGAAGCCAATGTAAGGACTGGCAGATTTGTGAGGTATAAGAGGACCGACTAGAGCAGAAAATCAGTCTGGCGGCAGCATTCATTACAGACTGTAGAGATAAATGATTGCATGTTTTGTTATTTCAAACTCAAACTTGATCGCCTAACATGTTCCTTACATCATATTATAAAATTGTGCTCCACCAGCAAAATGCCATGTAACGTACCATTACTTAATGTATGTTATTTTACGCAACTTGTTTTTCTATACCACTTATTACTCTTGTACTTGCTGTGGCATTTGAAGATTCCTTGTACACTCATGCACAGCAAAAATAAAGAACTAAAAAAAAAATCACAGTTAGAGACAACTTATAAGTTCTTAATTATTGCACAATTCCTGCAAATTTAGTCTTGGATGACAAAACATGTGAGAACAAA